TGTACCGTATATCCGATCAAAATTTATTAGCGTGCCATACTGTGAATGCCCTGAGTTGTTGGTGGTCGAGTTCTGACTATTGTCACTTGTACTCTTGAGGGTGGCATTGTTTGGGCGTTGGTTATCAGTGTGGGCCGTGGTGCTATTTCGCACGTTGTGGGTGCCAATACTATTGACCGTGGGGAATGTGGGCTTACTTATACTGCCATTGTTGTTGTTGGCATGATTTGGGGTCATATTCTTCTCTTTTTTACCAATGGACTTATGGCTAGGAGAGGAAAGGGTCAACTTTCGGGGGATTTTGACTTTTTTTCTTGGATTATTTAGTGACATGTCTAAATCTACAGTGGTAGGTGGTATAGTTTTATTGGCTATTTGATTACAATTTAGCGGCCTTTCGGTTGGTGTCGCTCTCTGAGAAGATAATTCTGTGTGGTAAGAGAGGGGTGGTGCGGTGGATTCTACGGTGTCTCTCAAAGGGTTGGGTATAATTGCTGCTTGCAATGTCCTATTGTTTATTCCACAGTTAGACTCAGTGTGATAATTATATACGCGCCTTTCTATGACGGTCTTGTCCACCGCAACCTTTACTAGTTTATAATTTCTGGCTTGCAGTGGGGTGTGTTGGGAGTGGATAAATTTTCTGGCCTCAGCAGGTGTTTCGAACTGAAAACGAATAGGACAACACTTTTCATGTTGACTCTTCTTCAGCCTGTAGCACTTAGTCTTGGAGTTGGGCATTTTCGCCTCACTAAGTAGGATGCGCTGTACCTTTTTTAGTGCCTCATTATCCGGAACGTTGTAGACAATAGCATTTAATTTAGCATCTAGTCGTTTTGTTACTTCTGTAGTAACAAAGTTAATTAGGTTATCCACCTTAGATATCGATTCACTGTCAAGTTTGTTAAGGTCTACAGTTTTCATCAGAATAGTTAAAGGTGTCAGTTCACAGACCTGCAGTCTGATATCACTGATCTGACCTGATAAATTGGAGATTTTGGTATTGGTATCGGATATTCCAGGATCTACTGACTTATTGTTTTTTAAGTCCCTTAACTCGGCCTGAAGTTCTCCTATAGACAACTTTAGAAGTTCTATTTCTGAAGATAGTACTGAAACAGAGCTTGAAGGCTGGAGCTTTTCGATAAGCACATAAGGTGTAGGGAGGGTTTCTGTATGAGCAGAGGGTACTGAATTTTTGGGAGTAGTGCTAATACTAGCTGTCAGTGCAGTTTTATCCTCAGTTTCAGCTCGACGCTTACGACATACAAGTGAGTTTTGTGGCTCACTATAACCATTTGTAGGAAGTATGTTGCTTGATGTAGCAATCAACGACTTAAAATTAGTCATCAGTTTTACAGGGGATAGAGTTCGCTGCTTTTTACTTTGGTTAACCATAACTATTTGATATCAGAGTTAATAGTTATAGGTATGGAAGTAGTAGAGGACTTGTGCAAGGATTACAACAAGATAAATTTTATGTAACGAATCACGCAAAAATGTAACGCAAACGTTGGACGTACCGCGTAGTTTGTGCATGGGCCCATGGAGTTCCAAATCTGACTGAAGACAGATATATTTGAGGAAAGTAGGGGCGAAGGCGAACTAGCTATCCAAGGTTTTTCCAAAGTATTTTCCGCCACATATATTATCACTTCTGTTCACACCACAAAAGGATGAAATTAATCCTATCCTTGTCGACTGAAATTTCATATTTAGTCCTTCAGTTAACTGGACGGGAAAAATCACAGAACTGATGATCTGTACTCCAGAATCTGGCAGTTGAAGTAGCCAACCAGTTGACCACTATTTTTGAAATGACTGATCCACATGGAGTCTTACGGTATCACTGGAAGGACTCAATAATGACCCTCAAACGAAGGAGAGTATCTAGGCAAGGTCATTGAACACAATAATGGCACACTTTAAAGACATCAGGATGTTTCCCAAACTATCACGGTTTTTCAGCATGACAAGCCTCTTTACAGCAATGATATTTTAGGCTGAGTCTGCTGCACACAAAACACCCATCGATATTTTATTTCATGCTAGACTGCTCATGAAGACGGAGAAGTTTCGACTAGCCTATAATAACTGGCAAGTTTTCAGATATTGAGTAGTGATTTCACAACCGGTATTAACTAAGCTAATGGAATACATAGTATCAGTATAAGCTCCGAATTACAATAAATGTGACTAATATACTTCAAAGTATGCTGCAAAAATGGGTTGAATATATACATTTTATCCTGCGTCGTGCAACATAGTGAAATGCATTGTTGTGCAAAACTGTTAAAATTTCGCAAACACTTGTTAGCGCAGTTTATGACGTAAGCTGGGACTCACGAGATTGGCAGCGTACATATCCAAAAGAGGACATATCTCCCTAAAATATTCAGTATATGAGAAGGTAAAGCATCTCATCAAATCTCTTTGTAGAGCGATTTTTTGATCAGATTGTTTACCTTCTTATCTGTTAGTTGGTTAAGCAGACTTAAACGAAATATTAACCGTAACAAAACAAAAAAATAACCACCATTAATATTTCTGGCATCCATAAGCGTTAATTTTAATCATTAAAATTTTCCGTTACCAGTTGCTGGTTGTATCGTACGTTTTGAACAAAGGGCTCTGTTTGATCATGAACAGTGGGTGATTGTGCACTAAATTAGGGCTGGACGTCAATTCAGCAAAATTTTGCAGGGTGTTCAGGCACCTCCATGTGGGATGATACAGGGCTCTACCGAAGAGGCTGAAAGAATACTGTTACTGGCTCAAGTATTAGCTATCGAAAGGAGTTCCAGTATAGGAGTGAGACATGATAGGCCATGGGCTAACAGGTAAATGTTGAAGGAACTGATGCCTTCTATCTCCGTGGTCATACACGGTGTTCCGCGGCTGGAAAATGGCACTGCTTGTGCATGACGTACAGCAATGGAGATGGCTATCATCTCAGATGGCCCTTGGTGCTTCTAAATCAAACTGGGTTTTTTGGCTACCTCCTCCCGCTCATCGCAAATTGATTAGCTCCCCAAGTCTGCTAAGTGTAAAATTCAACTCCCAGCAACAGTTGGCTCTAGCAATTCAACGGTGGTGCTTCAGTGAGAGCTGGCTGCAAGCCAAAACTGTAGACAATAATTTACGTCAGTGTTCACGACTCGAATCAGGATCATGAGAAAAAAACAACAGCAAGGCTTATCCTTGAGGAAATCACCAGCCAATCGCAGCGTAGTTAACTTGTGGAGAGACGATTTGCAGATATATGGCTTCATTTTCTGAGGAACGGCTACAGAGAGGTAACAGAATGACCTTCAGCAAGAAAATAACCAATCAGAAGAGGTCGATTCTCCTCTAACAAAACTGTACATAAAACTTAATAAGAAAACCTTGATTTCGTTAATAAACAGTTTGTTGCCTGGCCCTTGTCTTCTGTCGTTACAGTACGAGAACAAGGGTAAATTAGGAGGACACATCAGATGCTGCAAAAGCGGGCCTCGAACTATAAGGAGGCACCGGACTGAAGTCGAAGTACTTCCTCAAGCCTCAGTGATACTACAGCGATGCGGTACTGAGAATGAAAGTCAGTGTCCTCCAAGTGTCCTACCTGAATCCAAGGGAAAAACGACAACGGACTGGTTCCATCAGAATCGGCAAACTAGTCCCAATATTAAGTCCTCTACCAGCAGATGACGTAACCCCAACTACTTCACGACACGCTGAAGTTGTGAGACTCATGATCAGCTACCTGTATAGCAATGTGAGGGGACTGATAAGGAAAGTGGATGAACTCAGAAATCTCCAGTCACATCTAAGCCTTATGAGAATCATCCTTACTGAAACCTGGTTAACCCCCATTTCTGCCAGCAACGAAATCAGTATTAGTGATATTGTTCTGGTCAGGAGAGACAGGAATAACAAGGAAGGGAGGAGTTGCCATATACTTTGACAAGCAACTTAGATGTGTACGTGTAACGGACCCACCACTTACTGAACACCAAGACTCTCCATGGTGAAATTTTTCCGTAGGCCACACTAAGCATTTATCGGATAGCATCTACTGGTCACTCACTTGTGGGAGAGAGTACAACTAGGTACCGCTCAGCACCGTCACAGGGATATGGGACTTGGACCATGGCAAAATCACCATAGGTGGAGATTCTAGTGCCTCATCCTTGAACCTTGGCTCCGCGTATGCTCAGGGAAAATCCGGTCAAAATCTACTGCACACCACTAAAAATACAGGACTGACTGAGAATGGTATCAAAAGTACCGGGAAGTATAATTGATGATCACATCAAGGAGCATCTGGATAGGACTAATAGACTCCACAAACTAGCTGAAAGTAAATTCTGCACTAAGGTCAGTCGAGTTCGATCTTTTTAACACGGCCCATCATCAGGAGTGTCTCAGGGTTCTGTACTGGGGGCCACCTATATTTTGATTTTCATTAATTATCTGCCACGCCGTCTAATGTGCCCGACTCTTCTATACGCTGACGACGTAAAGATATGGAAGACTCAGATAGGCTGCAGATGGACCTAGAGCGTCTGGAAGACTAGGTGGTGGCCAGTGGTATGACTTTGAACCTGAAAATATGCAAAGTAGTGCAATTTCGTACGTGTAGACTGCAGACTGCAAGTGACACCTTAGGCAATGAAAGCTTGTCCGGCACAACGCCGGAGCGCTACTTAGGTCTAGTTCTAAAATCTATACTAATTTTATCTGTTATTATTACTGTTGTTATCTCTCTTTTCAATCATTCTGGATGACTAACGAGTGAAGGGATCAACTGCATTCACAGTAGCAACAAAGTCTTAACATGCCGAATACTGCAAACAACATATAATTAATCTCAGCATCACTCTTTTGGGAGTCAACCAAATCTACGGCAGTCAAGTGATCGCACGAACTACGCAGAAGTTTCTCAAAGACCAGAACCTTTACCTCACATTCAAGAAGCGAGCACAAAGAAATCAAATTTGTTTACACTAGCTCGTGAAAACGATATTGGATGTACACGGGGCAATTTTGATTACTCTAGGTCAATTCCAGCCTTTTATGCGTTAGTTATCGCTCGTCGATTTGGAGATTGTAACCTTTCTAATTTTGTGTTTTACTTTTTGAGTGAGATGATTTCTGGAGAGAAATATAATTCTTTGTAGCTTATAGTTGGTGGGATTGATTCATAAGCCACAATTATAGTATGAATTAGCATTTGCAGCTGCCCATGGTTTGAAAACTGGTAGAAACTGACTAAATCTCCATACTTTCTACACACTTTGGTGGTTCAGATTCACTTTCCTATCTCATAATCCACCCGGTTTTCTGACGTATATCCTCAAGCTGGGTGTACGTAAGTGTACATGAACCTGAAGGAATTCCAACACCCAGTGGAGGTATAGTTTTTTTATATGACTTCTACTCGGCATTGGTTTCTTTTCGCATAGCACATATGTGTAGTGAACTCGACTATGCAGCACACTTGTCCATGTTTTTACCCACAAATCCCAGGTCCAGAAAAAGATTCTCCGATAGAACTCATGTTGCAACCGAAAACATCCCACTTTTTCCCAATTTGCCCATTTTTGAACAGAAAACTGCTCACATTTTTTACCCACACAATCCAGATCTGAGAAAATTCTTATGTGTGTTTTATATATTTATCACCAATCATGTGCTAAAATGTGTTTCTTTAGGTAAAGTAAATATCGACAAATGAAGATTCCACTGCGGACGTATTTCTTTTGGAATTAAAATCTTATCCTTTTTGAGAAGTGGTTTCACCGTACTGAATGAAATTCACTTATAGCAGCCTCAATCTGAAAAGCGTATATTGCATACCGACATGGGCTTGTTAAATAGCACCATTAAATCCGAGAGTCTCCAATGTCTGTTTGAGGAATCTGAACGAAGAATCAAAGCGGAAGATAATTTCCACTGTAGTCCATTCAGATCCATATTCGTCTTTCTCCAGTCCGTACATGAGTCATCTTTTAACCAAAGGAGATTGGTTTTCCGCCACTTTGTTCGCCTGTTAAATCACAATTTCGATGAAATTCGTGAAGGTTTTATCACAGTTAGGACCTATGATATCAGGTTTGATTATGTGCACAATAACCGTAATGTTGTTCTGTCTTGGCCACTTCATGGTTTGCGTTGGTATGGGAGTAACAAATATTTATTTGTGTTCGAGTCTGGTCGTCGATGTCAGCTTGGTTAGTTTGCATACTTTTATTTTTGTTATTTTGCACTAATACTACTTGAACCTATCAAATTTAGTCAACTAAGACCGAGTTTTTTCAGGTTATTAGGAGTTTGAACACAGTATGCGATAAAGTTAAATAAAAAGTCCACTTAGAATCAATAGGAAGATTTGTCCAGTTCAGAAGTTGTGTTTAAGCTCATCCCGTTGACATATCGACACACTGATTACTTGGAAAATTTGTTAATGGGTTGGTCGCCTAAAATGAGTCGCAGAATTACACTTGATCTAAGGTAGGAAGTGAGCGTTTCTTTAACTCTTAGTAGCCCAATGCAAATACTGATTTGTTATTACGCAGCTTCACATCAAGTCCTCGTAATTACTTTCGATTTAGTGTACACCAAACGTGGATGTTTTCTACTGCTAAAAGTATTTGGTTTACATTCGATGTATTATATTAAGCAAAAGTGAATGTCGGGTAGGCTTTAATCTGTCTGCTCTTCATAGTAGCTCATTGAAATCAGGTTCATTCTAAAATTAGGATGATCTTGATGCCTTCGACAGACTATTGCGACAAACTTTTCCTGGTAAACGTAATTTCAAGAAGAAAATTAGAAATTATTCTTCATCATCCATTGCTGACATTTTTAGTATCGTGCCATCTCTTATGCAGACCACCTGATAGACCGGCATGTATTTCTTGATAATGTACTGTCACAGTGCGTTTCGATATCACCGGGGGATATTCACTCAAGTATTCTTTAAATTTCGCTCAGCAAGCTAAAGCTTCGTCAAAATGACTAGAGTTTTACTCGAGAACGAAAATGTGATCAAATAATCCAAAATAGATTTGCGTTCCGACCATTTGTGTCCAACTATCATTCCTTTGAAACTAGAAATACCCTGAGTATTTTTCCTAAACTTGTGAAAGAGATGTACTGATAATCAATACACTGTGATCTCCAAAATAGTGAAAGGCAGCCTGACGTAGATACTCCATAACACCTCTAGATATTTAGTTGTAATAATTATTACTGTGTTTGTTATTCATTTTGGTTTTGGGGCCTTTTTCAGGTCCAGCTCTGTTCATGTTTAAGTGTAAACGGCCTCAAAAGCTTGTTGACCGCGTTGAAAAGCAAATAAATTTGTTATCGTGCCTTCACTCCAGCCTACAGTTTCTCAGCGAACCTTCAGATCATGTTCAAGAGTTACATACATATTTGGTGAGTTTTAGCATTATTCATTATTGAAGTATGAAGATAATTTTGGAATCCGACACTAGATATCTATGACTAATTACCATATCTCATGTGCACTTTCTGGAACTAGACTGTAGGAAAAAGCATATTTTGATTCCAAAAATATTTACGAATAAAGCTGTTGATTTTCACCACAAATGGTTGCACAGTATTACTGTGGTATATGGGAACTAGTTGACAGCTAAATCGTGGCTTTGTAGTATTCTATCAGGCACATTTAATATAACTACTTACAAATGCTTACTTAACTGCATTTATTGATGCCTATGTATGCATGGAAATAAATGGTTTGTCTGAAATTTGATGGGTTACATCATTGTTGGGTAGTTCAGATATCAGAAGGCGTACTTACTATTCAGTATTATGTTCTATCCGGATTTAAAGCTATGGGATAGTTCCGCTTAAAGAATAAAATGGAGAGGACTGTCCTTTCAGTTAATTGCTAATTCTCTTTCTGTTTCATTTACCCCAAGAATAAATCAACTTCCACAGCATAGGCAGCAGCGAAGTAACAACCACCTACACACTTCCAAAAGCACATGAAGCCCTCCTGATCATAATTCTTCGTTATCTTTGTTACCCTCATCATCTTACTTCCTTATTACTGTCAGTACGATTCTGCAGGGTGGTCAGTCATCTTCATTTCATTCTGTGACCACAAATAACGATGAGAGCCAGGAAAACAACCCCAGCAGCCTCTTAAAGCCACGCCGCCAACTTCATATTGAAGTATTTAGCTCCACGACCCTCTGTCAAATAGGACAACAGGCATCAGTAGGTAGAACCCTGCCACCTGGAGCCATGGTTGTATGTTGTGTTTCTGAAACACGCACACAAGACCCTAGTGTGGTTATTCACTTAACCCCACCCAGCCAGCAAGCTGAATCTGCAAAATCCACACTAATGATGTCAGGAGACTCCTCAGGTAGCGGTGTAGGGATATCATCAAGTGTTAGGGCAGGAAGATCACTTCTTAACTGGATCCCAGTAGATAGTCGTATGTGTGCGGTCCGTCTGAATAGGACCGTTACAAGAAAGAAGGACAGTAAAACCTGTCGTCTTTTTGAAGTCCGCTTACGCTCCAACCGACTGCAGTTCAATTGTGCTAAAGGGTGATATCTACCAGACACTGTCTAATTTACTACAAAAAGCAAAACGCTCAGATATAGTTATTTTAGCAGGCGACTTCAATGTCCAAGTATGGGAGTTATGCCAGACTGAAAAGTATGTAGGTGGTACGCGCGGAATTCCCTACCGATGAATCGACAGCAGTGCTCGTCTTCTACAGTTATCTTCAGATGATCATCTGTTCTTAGTCAGCACTAACTTTAGACAGAAAGAGAAACATTGCCTAACCTGGCAAACCTCATCACCAAATCAACGTTGGACTGAAATAGACCACACAGCGATAGGGTATCTTTGGGGAGGGTCAGTGGAAGACTGCCGCTCCTGGAACACATGCGTAGACTCCGACCACGCCCTAGTTCGCGCGCATTTATGCTTACGTCTAAACGGACATAGGAAACTGTTGGCAGCGAAACATTTACGCCCCCAACTAGATCCAAACACTGAGTTCCTATTTAAGGAAGAAATAGCGAAATGAATATATGAGATGGAAAGCCAGACTCCTCCTGAGGAAGCCTGGGACAGTATACAGTTAGCTGTTGACACAGCTGTAAAAGCTGTTAATATGCTAAGACCAAAAGTTAGTAAGAGCCAGTGGATTTCTACCAACTCATCTGAACTGACTGACGCAAGAAGACTGATTCCGGCGAGCTCTGAATATGATGAGGAGCGAAAGCTGCTCAAACGCAAGTTAACAAGAAGTCTTCGAAACGACCGTGAACAGTGATGGGCGACAAAAGCGAAAGGGATGGAAAAGGTATCGGCGATTGGTAACACCAGACAATTATTTATACTTATCAGGGAAGCAGATAGCAAAAGGCAAATGATAAGTGAGACAATCTCCGAGAAAAATGGCACCATAACTAGCACTCAGGATAGACAACTGGAACGTTGGAAGGAACACTTTGAGGGGCAGTTTATTTGGCCTACAGTCACGCTTAACTTACCAAGCATCCAACACCTCCCTGAATGGGATATAAACACAGGTCCTCCATCCCTAACTGAGGTTACTAAGGCTGTCACTAGTCTGAAAAGAGGCAAAGCAGCTGGACCTGGTGGAATGACTCCAGTATACTGTCGGCGTTATTTAAGCCACGTGGGAAGGTGTTGACTTCCCGGTTGGGATGATATGGCTGAAAATCGTTCTCAATGGCTCAAATGCATTCACTCTTTGTGATTTGTCATATCCAATAAAACTTTTCTATTCTTCTGGATTGCTATTCTTTTTGCCTCACGCCTGTTTATTATGCCTTTTGAATCTCTTTACTTTCTTCTCCTACTTTGTGTGCCACATGGAGTGTTGTAACTCAAACTGCTGCACATCTTTGCAAAGTTCTACGTTGAAACCAGTCAGTCAGTGTATTGCTCATGTTGTGTTTATATGTATTGTTATATATGACAAGTCTATTGATCAGGTAGCGAACGTTCACCTATTAAATTGTCTTTAACTTGTTTTACATGCCTAAATTAGTGATGTTAAATAACGTTTATTTCACATTAGAAAGCGGATAGAAATTGTCAGATCAAAGCGTAACACCAGTTAGTCAGGGGTCTCGGGTTTAGCTTACCTAGCTCGGGTCCTCTAGGTTCTAAAATTCAGTGATTGGAGATTCTCGGAAAAGTGGCTCGAAATCTTTCACACTGACACCAATTTGTTTACTGCGTATCAACTCCCAGCTGTAAAACATCTCCATTACTCAAGTTATTCTCTTCTCAATCAGATCCACATTCGGCTTATGTAGGTTCGTCGGTTATTGTTTGCTTATGCTATCACAGTATGTAGTTACTTGGGCTTCTCCACTTGCTTTGAGTCATAATTTGTCTACGTTGGTGCTATCCACTTAATGTGTTGTGTACGTTTACTAGTGCAGTTTGTAGTTTTATTTCGCATGTGAATATTATGGAAAACATTTTCTAAATTCTCTTTAATAATTGACTTTACGTCTATAAGCTTCCATAAAAAGTGTGGCCTAACTTGTATTCCGTTTAATTCAGGAAACCATGAACTCCTTACCAAGGACGTCAGTTACGAGGAATGCATACTCTTTACAGTCTTCAAGTGGGGATGCAGGAGGTATAGTTTACAACTGTATTCAAATTTTTCCCGTTATTGTCCGTTTTTACTGGTTGTGATTAATACTAATTCTCTGTAGCTTTTCATTGTGTCCAGGTAAAAAAATACTTTTAAAATTTCATGTGAATATCACTTCCATACGTGATGTGTTTATTTAGTAGAGGACATGAGACAACATCTACCTCCGACACCGAAACTATGCATCAATGCAATAGCGCATGTCTATTGACTCCATGTCATTATCTTTGTTTTGGAAATCCTCTATTATCGTCATTTAATTATTCTCATTACGCTTCCTTCTTCTACCTTTATCTGTGTACCTCCAAAGTTTGGCACTCTTACACATATTGCTTAGTCAAACAGACTGCTTTATCAAATGAAAATACCCACGGCCTGGAAACCTATGAAGTTTCATTCCATGTTTCATATTTTTTAAAAATTTTTGTGGTGAGAATTGATACAGAAAACTGAATACCTTATAGTTTTTGTTTCACTTATATAGATGGGTTAAAAGCATTGTTGAACTCCATCTCATTCATGTTTCTTAAACGTGATTCTGCTTGATGACTTTAATTCTTTAACCCCTTGTTCTTAACTAAGCTACATTTTTTCTTCCAGGATTTTATCATCTGTCATATTTTCTTTACCACACCTTATTTAAGAATGATAGAAGTAGACTTCGCTTTCAAAACAGATGAAAGCAAAGGAAGTATTTAGAATAAATACTTTCAAATATGCTAATAACAACAAAGTTAATGAAGTCGTTTCGTGACTCACTGTATGCCTAACTGAACAAGTAACAAAAAAATTAAAATGTAATAAACATCAAAATTTATTATAAAAAGACTGGTAAACTCGTATATTAGTGTCACCGACAGGCATGTAGCTGCGCCTCAGTGTTTTAGCTACCGAACTACTGACAGAGTCTTCAATCTAATCTCCTCAGTCTGGACGGTTGAAAACTGGTATTTGATACACTGATTTTCAAGAAGAATAATGTCGATCTTCATCTTCTTTAAATTTCCATTGATTTATAGACATTATAAGTTAAATTACCGGTATTTATTTGGAGTATTATAATCGCTTTTGTTGTGGTGAGGATATGCCTAGTAAATGCAATTCAGGAACGGAAAGAATTCTTTGTGACGACTTTATAAAAACACAGTTTGTAACCTTTATGAATTTGATAAATCGTGATACTCAAACTGCAATAGTAAGGAAAGAATATAGAAAACTGTTCTTTGAGCACAAGAAGATTGGCATTAGTCCTAATATAAAACGTGAATCTTAGAGTTAAAGTGGAACTCCTTTTTTCTTACCCTTTTAGAATCTCGTCAACTGGACTTTGATCTGCTGTCATCTATAGTGTTGACCAGCGGTTCCGATGGCTATCTTATACCTCGTAATATATCTGAACGGCATTCTCCGGACTCTGCTTCCGATATAAGGGCGTGTAACTCTCCTATGGAGCCACTCTTACCAACGTCGGTGGATTTACACCTCATAAACGACAATTATCTCCAAGTGGTTTCTGCTTTTGACATACCACCTAATAGTGTTGAAAGTCCAAATGGCTCTCAATTCGGTCAATATGTTGTTTTGGCGTCCCATCCGCATAACATTTCAACCGATTCTTCAACAAATCTCCGTTTTCCAACTGCAATGCGTTTAAATAATGAATATGTTCAAGATTTGGTTTAGCAACAATATTAAGAACAAACGCCTTCTTATTTGTTTTGAATTTTAATTATTTTTATAATGAATTTGTACTGCTGTTTATGTGAGATATTTTTCAAAGCTATATACATGTATCATGGGTTGTTTACTGATAATATAGTCTTTGTTAACTTGAGCTTAAAGTGTCGCTCTACCACACCGGTAATCAAACAATAAATTATTACTATTTAACTGATTTTCATTCGTAATGAAATTTGTTTTGAGTTCGTCTCCCAGAAATCAAATATCTCCATATTAATACACTGCTCACCAGGGAATGACTAGTTTCAAAATGTATTTCATGAAGTTTTAGTGAGAAAACATAACTGTTGAAGACACCAAGTTATGTGTGTGGATAGATACACACTGACCACGTTTGATTAGGTCTGACGAATTGATGGGTCATTGTATTCTGATCCATTAACTTGATGGTAATGTGCTTTTCTCGCAAGAGGTTAGGTTGGCCAGTTTCGTTCTTAGATGAAAGTTATGAAGGCTTACCAATAGAGAACAAAAGAATTATTCTATACCTCTCCAATACAATATTTCTTTTAACTGATTTCGGTTCATGACAAAATCCACTATGATGAAACTTTTAACTTGTACTTCAACGCAAGACCAACGATTAATAAAATTAGATATGAATTTCTCAGAATGTTTAGTAACCAAGTATTAGATAATTGTTTTGATTTGAATGGAAAAATCTTAATAATTTAATCAGATGTACATTCAATGTTGAGCTGGCGAAGCTTCAGTAGAACCAAGGGAATTTAAAAACAGAAATAGATAGCCTAGTAAGAAGACGGAGTTTAGCTGAAAATTGTAATTTATCTGCACAATACATTTCGAAATATCTGGTCACACATTTACTTGTCAAATCAGCTTATATGAAAAATGAAAGACCTGTTAGAATAAACAAAATAATGTAGGATTTAAGAAAGCTACTCTTCGCAGACCGAAAGTTACCAACATGTAGCTAGGTTACCCAGACGACATGGGATTTAAAGTGAACTGCTATTTGGATACATATATTCTGATGGATCTTACTGGTGTAGTATCGTATCGTTTACGTCCAATCATCTTGGTATTATGATCATATAGGGATAACAAAGGTAGTTTAAGGATAGATTGTTTTTGTACACGCAGGTGGGGAGGAGGGTTAAGTTTACAGAAAGCTATTGCCTCTGACGGTTTTCATAGTTAATTTTGAAGTTTGTCTTAATCGATCTTGTGACGCATATCAATTTAATGTTTTCTTTCTAGACGAATTTGGTAGTCTCCCACCTGCACTTATTGCGGTTCAACAGTTTAATTGTTTGCTGAGGCGTTCGAGTATATTTTCTGCCAACCCTATGTGCACAGTTCGATTACCCCTCCCTATGTGTGACCATGCACACATGTAAATTAATATAAAATGTAGGATGTGACATAGCCACTTGTGCAGTGTTGTAACTTGAGGTAGAGCGTCTCTTTGGTATTTCCGAAAATTCTAAGCCGGGCTGCATAGTAGTAATTCCATGGATGAAAGAATCTAGTCTCTCTTCTTAAATCTTACTTTTTACTCTTCCCATTGTGAAATAATTCTTTTGGTGGGGGGTGGGGATAGACTTATAGGCTTTCAGAATGATTAACGTCTGCACCAGTTCTAAAACTCTAAAGGATATCCGTTTCTGACAAGTGTGTATACATCAATATTTGATTGTCATCTTTTATTGAATAAGCGCTTAACCAAGCCTCTCTTACATTGTAATGGATAGAAAGTAAAAATTTTAATAGTGCCCTGTCCAAGTAGGTCGTGTTTTTTGAACCATCTTCTTTCCGAATCAAGAATATGCCTAGGAATACAAGTTGGTTGCAACTTTCTTCGTCACATGTAAGACATATTAAACACAACAGCCAACATTGCGCCTAAATTGATCTGAAAAGTAAATGTGTTATCATATTGTTGTATTGAACAAATATACCAAATTTTTCAGATTAACTGCGTCTTCTATTAACTCTATCAATACTTACTAAAGGGACTATTTGTTTTGAAAGCAGAAACAAGAATTAGCGAATAAAACACATCAAATTGTTATTTATGATTGTTAGTAACTTGTTCTATTAATCTTTTTTTAACGTTGCTGATTTGTTACGCAATTTCATTTAAATCACAATGTTCAAGCTGTTCCAAATATTATTCAAAATGCTTTGCATTATTTCTCATGTTTTACATTTCAGGGATAATGTCTCTGGAATATAGTGACTACCAGTTACATATACTAACTGATCAATGTTGCGATTTTGATTTAGTAAATCATCAACTAATGTATCTTGTTTGGCTTGTAATCTCTGTTCCCAGTAGCTGCGTTGGCGTAAATTCCTCCCGCATATTGCTACAATCTATGAAAATAAGATTAGTTTACTATAGTGAACTAAAAAGTATGTTAATTTAATAATTGTGAAAAAATATGATGAAATTAAAGAAGACTTAACTGTGTCTTAGCTTTAATCTGAAATGCATCTGCAGTGCTTGATTAAAATCGCGGATAACGGACTGTGGCTACATCGAAGGTTTGAAGATTCCACATTTTAGCGAAAGAAAGGGGAGACAATGGGAATTGCTGTAAACTGCAAACACAGGGTCAACAAGGCTGTTCATCGATTTTTAACCGTTAATTATTCCTCAACTTAGTGATGAGTAGTAACATAAAGGGGGAACTGATATTATATAGGACGGGTTGACCATTTATATCGGTGGTATTGTGTCATATAGTTATCATGAGCACACCTTTATATATTAATGTCGTGACAGTCTAAAATGGACCGTGATTTCTAACATGACCAGTAACCAATTAGTTCACACACAGTAACTTACATTTCTGTAATTCTATCTCAGAAATCACAGTTATTGTTATCAGCAGACGTTTGTTTTACTAACTAAATCACAAATAAAACTTTATAAAATTAAAATAAGCTACTTTTAATTTCTCAGTGTGTTGATACATATTAAGTTCACGAAAAACGGTATCCATGCTCTATAAGGAATTAAATTGACTTAATCGCATTCACTAAACATAAACAAACAACAAAAATCGACTATTCTAGCTGATTATCCTACACAAATGGATTACGTCAATAAAAGTTGGCCAAACTATGATGGTTAATTACCAATGGCCTTATTAAAAGGTGAAGTAGGCTGACGGAGAATTGTATTCGTGAAGACCTCTCATCACAATCCTATCAGTTATAAGCACACACCAACTTGTTGTTTTAATGTCATTGCACTAATTTAGTTGCGTTGGTTTGATAAAAAAATATAAATCATCAAGACAATTGTTTTGAGCTTCGCTTCATATTGGGGATTGCACCCGGACAACGTACATTTGTATTAGCAGAATATCTATTGTCTTATATACCAGGTCGCTACTTTAGGCAATATAATAAGTTTTCCTCAGAGTAGCATGTCGAATGTAGTATTTTATTGTCTGTGCCATGCTTTTCAACTCAACGCGCATACTTCACTTCAAGTTGTTTAATTTAAAAAAAATGACATCTTTGCAAATCATTTATTAGTTTATGCAATTGTTAGCCATGGTAACTGATATATATATATATATATATATATATATATATATATATATATATCTGATATTTCATGTGTGTTCACTGATGAACAAATGTAAATAACACACGGTGAACTTTTTAATGTATGAATGTAAATATATTAACAATATATACGTATGATGAAGTTTAATATTCGTAATTATAAACAGAACACTTCCTAAAATGTATATTATTCGGTGGCTTTCTAATGTGTCACACCAATAGTTACAAGGTATTGATTTCAATACGGATACGCTTATTGACGTATGGAGTTAATGTCCATATCGAACAGTGAGCATATTTCACTTACCACATAGCTTCTTAATGTGTTTGTTGCTAAGGTAGGCGTCAAAATTCTACATCTTGCGCTTAGTCGTTTTATTCATTCATTCAAATATTCATTGTGGTAATGCATTAGAATAAGGCTCGCTTATAAATCATATATTTTACCGGTGTCCTCAGTTCGGAGGACGAATGTCCATAAACGCCGGCAAGGCTCCCTCCATATTCAGACATTTGCACAGTACCTCTTGGTTGATAGAACCCAATGCACCTTTCAGGTCAAGAAATATGGCAAGCATTTCAGAACCCGTCAGATCTAAAGCTTGTCTGGTTTATAGTAGATTGTTCTCCCTGAGCTCCGCTTAGTTTACAAATCCAGAATTTTTGATACTAAGCGAAGTTGATCACTGTATGACTATCCAACGGAGATTTATCTTCTTTCGTAAACGCTTGGATAATCTGCGTTTTGCCCCAGTCCGATACAATAGTCTCGAATCCCCACACATTACGTAGCATCTCAGCTAAACTATCCAGTTATTTATTACCATCATCTTTGAACACATATGCAGACATAACACTAGATCCTGCTGCTTTCCTTCGAATCCTTTTCCGTTAGAGAGAACTTTAACAACTCTGATTGGATAAATAGTGTCCATATCCCAATCAGTTAGGTGTTGGGCTCTGGGAAAATTTAGAGTGGCTTTAACACCGTATTCCCTCTAAAGTTACAGTCATCTATCCTGAGAAGTATTTAAACTACCATTCTTCTCAAAAATCGTTTCTCTTACCCTTTGATTTTTACATTCTGTTCACCTGATGAGTCGAAATAATTTTCTCGTTGTGCCTACCGATGGTGTTTTCTTGTCATCTGATTTACTTCTGTCTCCCACTTCCGATCATAATCGCTGTTACGACTTCTAATCAGATTGAATATGAGAAGCCTCCGCCCGACGTCATATTCGAGGCCGCCTGAAATTTAACTCCTTTTGTCTATCAGTTTGGATTAAGCATTAAAAGTGTACTGGAATTTCCCTACCGTTGGCTTCAGGTTGTCGACAGTCTTTATCATTATTTGTGCAGCTGACTCACTGGATATTATGCCAGTTTTCTTCAGGATGGGTATCGCTGTTAAACTCAGATACACATTTAGTTATTTTCTCTCCCAGAATTTGGGAGCATGGTGATTTCGTAGCTGCTCAATTGTAGATATATACGTGAACGGACTAGCATGTTATCGATGTACACAGGTGTTCCAGAATGTGGTGCATTCACTCTTTGTGATATTTATATCAATTAAATTTCATATTTATTTTCATGTAATCATTATTTCTGCTGTTCATTTCCGTTCACTGTAGCTCCTTTGCATTGATTTTCTTTGTATTCATGTGTGATTTGATGAAGTGTATTGGCTTGAACTGGTTGACATCTTTGCGAACCTCCAGGCTGAAAACCCAGTCAGTATGTCACTATCATTGTCTTGATTATGCATTTAGTGTTTTATTCTGACTCCATTATCTCGGTGGCTGTTGGCAGTGGAGTCAAGAGACTTCTCACATTTATTTACATCCCCTCTTTTGATTAGTTGTTTCTAGAGAAAATGAAAGCCAGAATTTATTACTCCAAGCATTACAGCTTTGTCAGTCAGACTACTCAGGTATAGCTGATTGAGATAAAAGTGCATATTGAGGAAAATGTCTTAAACTAGTGTTGTAAACTGCACTACTATTATTTTTAGGAATCATTATATATATATATAAGCTTGATGATGAATTCGTTGAGAAGACTCTTTTCACTGAATCACTTGTCTACATTTTCTAATCACCCTATCGTTCACAGCACAGAAAATAACATTTGTGAGTATGGTTAATATAATACCAATACAACTTACTAGCTCTGCGTTGAATAGCTGATTTTGATCTAACACTGAATCAGTAACAGCTAAGTAGTACGATGATAATAATTTGCTTTGTTCTTCTTGAGTTCTGATGTATTGATTTGAAAGAGTTAAGTTACAGGAAAGTTTCTCTTTGAATTCCTCCTAATAATTGGAAATAAATATGTAAAAGAGCAATAAAATGAATTATTCAACAAAGGTTTTATAGTGTCTAAGTAAAGAAGAGATACACCACACAGAATTTATGTTATTTTTCTTTCTTTCAGTTGTCCTATACCACTTTCCGACCTTTGCTTACATAATTTCTCTTCGCCTTTTTATTTTACCTTTTAAATGATATAAAGCGTTGAAACATTACTGATTAGTGCTAGACAATTTCTTTCTGTATTATTCATCCACTCAATAGATCTTTCGAATCTGTTCTTGAATTGGGATCTTCAAGTTGCTAAATTTTCGACAGATAAGTGTGATTACAGTGACTTTTGAGAAGACAGATATTATCAGTATATATCCTGTCGGTTGCTTGGCTATGAAAGGTCCTTTCATAACATTTTGAGTATATTGTTGCCACCTTTAACTTCTGTTAATGAGAAATTTAAGTAAGAAATATTGGCTATTAAACTGAAATATACCCTTTATTTTTTCCACCAATGAATAGTATTTGATGGGAACAAATTTTCCGTGATATTATTACGGTGTAAAACAAGAGACTTGGTAACTGAATTTTTTTTTGGGATTTGATATCTCCATGTAGGAAAATTATGTACATCTTGTCTGACAATCGTCATTTGCAGAGGTCTCCCTGTTGTGTCCTACTTCTGCTCTTCTCATTGTGTTTCTTTGTCTTCTTCTCGTGTCTCCCATATTTTGCCGCAGCGCTGGTTCATTTGCTCCCTTTAATTTCAAGTCTATTACTCCAATATTTGTTATTTTTATGCCGATGAAGGTCTCTTTATATTACTACTGATAAATTTTGTCTGGTGCACACGCCACAATATCACTACAGACACATAATGTAATAAATGTTTTTCTATAAACCAAGTGTTATAGCTCATTAGGCTAAATGATGACACTTATAACCGTTCAATGATGATCGTTTGAACATAGAAGAGCTTGTAAGTTTACTGGAATTCAGAAATCACCTTTACATTTTCGAGTTATGCGTATCATCTGAATTTGTATTAGTCCTTTTTATTGATTCGTCACTAAAAGTTGTCGACAGCAGTTACTTATCTTCGACACAAACCCAAAAATAATTATTTAGTTTGAAACTATCATCTACATACACAGACTCCTCTTTATGGTTGTTATTATAAAATAGTGCTTGGTAATTTTCTGAATGGGAAGTTAGTAAAAGTTCAAAAAGTATCATCTATTACTGCAATTAGTAGCCCGTTTAAACCTCAGGTGCATAACGTTAATTCGTTCAGTAACATCAGCATATTGTATCAAAATGCTAGGTTACAACTGACAACTCAGGCGAAAGCAAATCGAGTAGGGTAGAGTGACTATTTGAATGACTTGTTTTTTGTTTAAAACGTTTATTATACTGTGTCCACCAACAATATTTATTCTTGCATAAGCTGCATTTTCACTTCCTTGAGACCGAGATTGATTCCAT